ATTAAAAGAATTTAGCTAGATCTTCTCTCAAGCCAACAGCCTGACCTTTAAGGTTTTTGTCTTTCTTGTATGTGACATAATATTTCCTAAATACTCTCCCCATTTATAGTCCTTCTGCACCAGACACTAAGCACCCCTCAGACAGATAGATGCCCTTGGTCAGAGGTCTGCTGTACTCAGAAAGACAGAAGAAAAATGCACATAATTTCATTACACTAGGTTCTTCACCAGGAGAAAAGACTTAAAAAGGCGAGAAGCAGTGACAAATTAACATTGGCTGAGTGTCTTCAATGTGCCAGGCGCTTGTGTGATCTCATGACTTCTCATAACGATCCCACTCATTTTACAGAAGGGTCAACCATGTCAAAGAAATCAAGCAATTTGCCCAGAGTCACAGAACTGGTAATTTGCAAACCTAGCATTTGAATCCTAGTCTAACAGGAAAATACACCCTGTTTCCACTAACTTCCATAATGACATAATGTGCTGTATTTTATTGAACTGCAAACATCAGTAGTAGGTTGTCCAATACTGTTATGTTCCACTAAAAAAAGAAACGCACTGTCAATTACACCACGACACACCCTTTATTTGTAAGATGAATTCGATTTCTGACAAGTAAAAATGTGGAAAAAAGTTCTAAGAATGAATTAAATGTGGTAAATACTGCTTCAGAAAGAGGATTTGAGCATCTGTGTATAGTCTGGCCCAGAAGACAAAACACCCAGGATAGGGAAAGATCAGGAAAAGGTTTCCATAGTCACTTAGCTATTAAGAAACGGAAGGCTGAGTAGAGACAGAGCCTTGTGAAATGGAAAAAGAAAAGGTAAACTTTTTATTTTATTTTATTATGTTATGTTAGTCACCATACAGTACATCATTAGTTTTTGATTTAGTGTTCCATTATTCATTGTTTCTGTATAACACCCATTGGTCCAAGCAGTATGTGCCCTCCTTAATACCCATTACCGGGCTAACCCATCCCCCCACCCCCTTCCCCTCTAAAACCCTCAGTTTGTTTCTTGGAGTCCATAGTCTCTCATGGTTTGTCCCCCCCCTCCGATTTCTCCCCCTTCATTTTTCCCTTCCTTCTCCTAATGTCCTCCATGCTATTCCTTATGTTCCACAAATAAGTGAAACCCTATGATAATTGACTTCCTCTGCTTGACTTATTTCACTTAGCATAATCTCCTTCAGCCCCATCCATGTTGATGTAAAAGCTGGGTATTCAACCCTTCTGATGGCTGAGTAATATTCCACTGTATATATGGACCACATCTTCTTTATTCATTCATCTGTTGAAGGGCATCTTGGCTCTTTCCACAGTTTGGCTATTGCGGACATTGCTGCTATGAAAAGGTGAACTTCTAAGAAACACCGTGGCAGGTAACTCAACAGGAACGGGCAGTTTGTAGATTGTAAAGGGTGAAGAATGCACTAGAAGCCAAGACTGAATGGGAAAATGGTAATAATTGAGAAACTGGAAAAAGGGAGAAGGACGATTTCCATTTCAGATATAGTAGTATTCCCAAACCAGAGAATTCTCTTCACGTCACTCTGGAGGGAGAGAGCCGGAGATGAAGACATGGGGATCACTCACAAGCACCAGCTCAGGGACAAGACAGCACTCTCACTGGGGGTCTGAGGGTGGAAAAAAAGCCCAGGATTTACTGGAGGTTAAAGGTGAAAAAAAAAGGAACAGGTTTATGAACGTTGGTGATGAAGATGAAATGAGATAAATACTACGTGCCACTAAGGAAGCTGGCTATCAGAAGGTATTCTTAAGGAATGACACAGAGTTGAATGGCTGGACTCAAATGAAAATCACTTTCAAAATGGATGTGTCCTAAGTGCCCAGCCGAGTCAAGTACCCCCGCAGTTAGAGGTTCCTGCACTAACGGGGTTTACTCTTGAGTCAGATTACCAGTGGGGGCTGGGTGGGGTGGATTTATAAGAGTTTACAGAGTAGAAGTGGGGAAGACTTTTTGAGAAAGCTAGGCCTTGAGCTGGATTTTGAGGTTGGGAGCGGGGTGAGGAAGAGAAAGTGTACTTTTTTTTTTTTTTTAAGATTTTATATATTTGAGGGAGAGAGAGTGTGCATGCATGTGCACATGACTGGGGAGAGGAGCAGAGAGAGAAGGCGAAACAGACTCCCCACTGAGCAGGAACCCGATGTGGGGCTCGATCCCAGGACCCTGAGATCATGATCTGAGCGGAAGGCAGATGCTTAACTGACCGAGCCATCCAGATGCTTCACTGACCCAGCCATCCAGGCACTCTGAGAAAGGGTATTTCTGATAAGAAAGTCAAGAATGAGCAATCCACAAGATATGCTCCGAGAGGACAGGCTTGGAGTGCATGTTTGTGTTGGGGAGAATGGGAGATGAACGTGGAGAGACAGCTGAGTCACAGTAAAGAGGGACCCCCGTAGGCAGCAGGGAGCCATTAAGAGCTTTTAAGCAAAGGACCTGACAACATGACATTTACGTCAAGATTGCTCTGGTGGTGATGTATAGAGAAACTCAGGCAGGGTGATGGTGTAGGCATTTCTGCTCACCAAGCTTTACTAAACCCCACTAAATATTAAACACTCTTTCAGGCCCTGGGAACTTACAAATAAGTGAAAACTAGTCTCTTCCTCAACAACCTGTAACCAATTGGCAGTAAGTGGGGAACAAGCTCAGTTAGGATGCTTTTCACATATCCAATTTTTGAAGCGAAAAGGGTTAGATCAGAGTCCCGGCAGTGGGAATGGAGCAGAAACCTCAGAAAGCAAGAACGGATGGCACCTGTGGATAGAATTACAAGTCCTTTACTCACTGGGTCCTGCACCGCCTGCTTTTTGCCCCAATCTGTCTGTATTTTCCCAATTTTATTCCCCTCGTGTTCCCTTTCTATCCTTTTCTCCATAACCAAGGGCATTAACCGAACACTGGCAAGTCAATCACACTATTATTTAAACACCTTGTCTTTCTGAAGCCATGTGTGTTCTCTGCTCTGGGTGAGCTTGATGTTCCTCCCATTCAGTTGTTTCTATGTCCGAGCAACAACCGACCCATGTGTATCACACATAGAATTACCTGGAGTTCATAATCAGAGGGTCTAATTAGCTTTTTCATTAAATATCTTCGTTTAAAATGAAAAAAAATTAAGGAAACACTAGAGAACAGCTTGCCCGACAGGCATACAGAAAGACAACATTAGAAGACCTTGTGTCAAATGTAACTCCATACTCTACCAATTCCATAATATTTAACTCAACGGTCTACTAGGTGCCAGACACTGGACTTATCACTGGGATACACTGAGTAAGACACAATTCCAGTCCTGAGAACTTAGAGACCTTAGAGACAGGTGATGAAAACTTCACCTCACCAGATGTCTCATTCTATCCATCACTGGCTCTAGACCACGCCATGATCACTTCTTAACTTGCACTACCCTCCTGCTTGTACCATTCCCCTCCCTTCATAGAGCTTGAGTGACTCTCTTGAACCCAAGTCCTATAATGTCCCCCTTTCCCTTCTCACTCAGTACAATTCTAAGTCCTTAATCTTGGCCCACAATGTCCCATGTGATCTGAATTTGATGTCCTCTCCTGCAATTATTTCTCTTACTCCACTCCACCTACACTTGGCTTCTTTACTGTTCCTAGAATATTCTGAACATGCTCGGTCAGTTAAGCATCTGCCTTCCGCTCCTATCATGATCTCAGGGTCCTGGGATCGAGCCTTTTCCTGGTTGCCTATATCTGGATTTCTCCTACCAAAGCATCTGCATGATTTGCTCCATCACTTTCTACAGATCTCTGCTCAAAGGTTGTCCTATCACTGAGTCCTTCTCTGACTACCTGGTACTCCTTAACCCCCATATCCTGTCTTACTTTTCCTAAAAGCATTTACTCAATAAAATGCATCTATCACCACTGGGGATTTACTGTTTGTTGTCTGCCTCCCCAAACAATATTGGAAGCTCCACAAGAAGAGGGTCTGATTGGTTTGTTTTTGTATTCCCAGCACTTGGGATGTTGCCTGGCATGTGCTCAATGGTCAACAAGTACTTCTTGGGGCGCCTGGGTGGCTCAGTCGTTAGGCGTCTGCCTTCGGCTCAGGTCATGATCCCAGGGTCCTGGGATCGAGCCCCGCGTCGGGCTCCCTGCTCGGCAGGAAGCTTGCTTCTCACTCTCCCACTCCCCCCTGCTTGTGTTCCTGCTCTCGCTCTCTCTCTCTCTGTCAAATAAATAAAATCTTTAAAAAAAACCCAAACAAACAAACAAAAAAACAAGTACTTCTTGAACAAACTGGATGCATGACTGAGAGTTATGCCTAAGATTATAGGGGAGCAAAAAGGTGGGTACATGGCATATCCTAGGAGGAACCAGGGGCTCAGAGATAGCTTCCTTAAGCAAGTAATGTTTGGACTGAGACTTCATTCATTCATATGCTCAGAAAGGCATTCACTTGTTCAACACATTCCCATCAGAGTTTTGCTATGTGTCAGGCACGATACCAGGACTACAAATGTAGCTGTCATGAAGGCAGACACGTCCCTGTTCTTGTAAAACTTATCATCTAGTGGGGCAGAGACAATAAGCAAGCCAATAGATGAAAAAGGCAAAATATCCAATATTCACACATGCTATGCAGATAAACTAAAATAGGGTGATGTAAAAGAAATCCTCTAGGTGGTTCCTTTAGATTGGGTCACAAGGGAAGCATCTCTAGGAAGTGACATTTCGTGGAGACCTGGAGAGCAAAAAGAAAGCTCCCATGTGAAGAAGATGAGGGAGTGAACATTCCTACAGAGAGAGCACAGCCAGGGCAAAGCCCTTTAATGGGAATGGGCTTGAAGTGTTCAAGGGTGAACCACATGGAGAATATTTAGCTACAGGGCTGTAGTCAGAAGGAGAGGGGCCGGCCGTGCTGCCCCACCATCTGGCCCAGTGGACCCATGAACCAACCGATCCACGCACGGATGAATCTGCCTGCTCTTGAGAGCGCCATGTCTGGTTCCTCCAGCGTTGCCACTATGAAGAAAGTGGTTCAACAGCTCCGGCGGGAAGCTGGGCTCAACTGCGTGAAGGTTTGCCAGGCAGCTGCAGATTTGAAACAATTCTGTCTGCAGAATGCCCAACACGACCCCCTGCTAACTGGTGTATCTTCAAGTACGAATCCCTTCAGACCCCAAAAACTGTTCCTTTTTGTAGTAAAATGAATCTCTGGATGGTTTTCTAAACCACTTTTCATGAACCAGTGAATATTCAAAGGAGAACTAAATTTGAAGCCTGTACAAAAGCTTATTATCCCTATAACACGTGCCATACTATATAAACTTCTACTTTTGTCAGGCCTTAACATCTACCTCTGAATTTTCTTTTTTTTGGAATTTTTCTTTTTCCCTTTTTCAACCAATATCTTATCAATCCTTTTCTTAAAAAACATTTTTATTTTTCATTTTTAGTCATATTCTATCCATAGTAGTTACCTTTATTTTTGGCATATATATATAAGTTCTTCTTTCTTTAAAATTTTGAGATACAGTTTCTTCTAACAGATAAAAACATACCCTAAATCTCCAGTGTACGGCTTTGTTCTACTCTCCTGCCTGATCACATTCTTTTTTTTTTTTAAATCCTCTTCTTTTTTCAAACTTATCAATTCCCTTTTATAAAATTTTTTATAATTTTCATCTTTACAGTCATATTCCATCCCTTCATATCAACCCTTATTTTTGTACATATATAAGTTTTTCTTTCTTTAAAATTTTGGGAGGCATTTTCTCCTACCAGACCAAAATACACCCAAAATCTAGTGTGTGCCACTGATCTATGCACCAGCCTGATCATATTTGATCATATTCTGTTTTTTTTTGGTTGTTCTGTTTTTGTTTTTCTTTTTCCTCTTTCTTTCCCTTTCTTTTCCCCCGGCTTCAGGTCTTTTCTGATTTGTTTAGAGTATATTTTCTGGGGACGTTGTTACCCTGTTAGCATTTTGTTCTCTCATTCATCTATTCTCCTCTGGACAAAATGATAGGACGGAAAAAAATCACCTCAACAAAAAGAACAAGAGGTAGTCCTAACTGCCAGGGACCTACTCAATACGGACATTAGTACGATGTCGGATCTAGAGTTCAGAATCATGACTTTAAAGATACTAGCTGGGCTTGAAAAAAGCATGGAAGTTATTAGAGAAACCCTTTCTGGAGAAATAAAAGAACTAAAATCTAACCAAGTTGAAATCAAAAAGGCTATTAATGAGGTGCAATCAAAAATGGGGGCACTAACTGCTAGGATAAATGAGGCAGAAGAGAGAATCAGTAATATAGAAGACCAAATGATGGAAAATAAAGAAGCTGAGAAAAAGAGAGATAAACAACTACTGGATCATGAGGGCAGAATTCGAGAGATAAGCGATACTGTAAGACGAAACAACATTAGAATAATTGGGATCCCAGAAGAAGAAGAAAGAGAGAGGGGCAGAAGGTATATTGGAGCAAATTATAACAGTGAACTTCCCTAATAGGGGAAGGAAACGGGCATCAAAATCCAGGAGGCTCAGAGAACCCCTCTCAAAATCAATAAAAATAAGTCAACACCCCGACATCTAATAGTAAAACTTATGAGTCTCAGAGACAAAGAGAGAATCCTGAAAGCAGCGCGGGAGAAGAGATCCATAACCTACAATGGTAGAAACATTAGATTGGCAACAGACCTATCCACAGAGACCTGGCAGGCCAGAAAGGACTGGCAGGATATATTCAGAGCACTAAACAAGAAAAATATGCAGCCAAGAATACTATATCGAGCTAGGTTGTCATTGAAAATAGAAGGAGAGATAAAAAGCTTCCAGGACAAACAAAAACGAAAGGAATTTGCAAACACAAAACCAGCCCTACAAGAAATCTTGAAAGGGGTCCTCTAAGCAAAGAGAGAGCCTAAAAGCAACATAGACCAGAAAGGAACACAGACAATATACAGTAACAGTCACCTTATAGGCAATACAATGCCACTAAATTCCTATCTTTCAATAGTTACCCTGAATGTAAATGGGATAAATGCCCCAATCAAAAGACATAGGCTATCAGATTGGATTAAAAAACAAGACCCATCGATATGCTGTCTGCAAGAGACTCATTTTAGACCCAAAGACACCCCCAGATTTAAAGTGAGGGGGTGGAAAACCATTTACCATGCTAATGGACACCAAAAGAAAGCTGGGGTGGCAATCCTTATATCAGACAAATTAGATTTTATTTTTTTATTATTTTTTATAAGATTTATTTGACAGAGAGAGACACAGCGAGAGAGGGAATACAAGCAGGGGGAGTGGGAGAGGGAGAAGCAGACTTCCCGCGGAGCCGGGAGCCCAATGTGGGGCTTGATCCCAGGACCCTGGGATCATGACCTGAGCCGAAGGCAGACGCTTAATGACTGAGCCACCCAAGTGCCCCAGACAAATTAGATTTTAAACCAAAGACTGTAATAAGAGATGAGGAAGGACACTATATCCTACTTAAAGGGTCTATCCAAAAAGAAGATCTAACAATTGTAAATATCTATGCCCCTAACATGGGAGCAGCCAATTATATAAGGCAATTAATAACAAAAACAAAGAAACACATTGACAACAATACAATGGGGCACTTTAACATCCTCCCTCACTGAAATGGACAGATCATCGAAGCAAAAGATCAACAAGGAAATAAAGACTTTAAATGACACACTGGACTTCCACACATTTGGTCCACAAATGGACCAGACATATTCAGAACATTCCATCCCAAAGCAATGGAATACACATTCTTCTCTAATGCCTATGGAACATTCTCCAGAATAGATCACATCCTAGGTCACAAATCAGGTCTCAACTGGTACCAAAAGATTGGGATCATTCCCTGCCTATTTTCAGACCACAATGCTTTGAAACTAGAACTCAATCACAAGAGGAAAGTTGGAAAGAACTCAAATACATGGAAGCTAAAGAGCATCCTACTAAAGAATGAATGGGTCAACCAGGAAATTAAAGAATTAAAAAAATTCATGGAAACCAATGGAAATGAAAACACAACTGTTCAAAATCTTCGGGATGCAGCAAAGGCAGTCCTAAGAGGAAAGTATATAGCAATACAAGTCTTTCTCAAGAAACAAGAAAGGTGTCAAGTACATAACCTAATCCTACACCTAAAGGAGCTAGAAAAAGAACAGCAAATAAAGCCTAAACCCAGCAGGAGAAGAGAAATAATAAAGGTCAGAGCAGAAATCAATGAAATAGAAATCAAAAGAACAGTAGAACAGATCAACGAAACTAGGAGCTGGTTCTTTGAAAGAATTAACAGGATTGATAAACCCCTGGCCAGACTTTTTTTTTTTTTTTCTTTTTTTAAAGATTTTATTTATTTGAGAGCGAGAATGAGAGACAGCATGAGAGGGAGGAGGGTCAGAGGGAGAAGCAGGCTCCCTGCCAAGCAGGGAGCCTGATGCGGGACTCGATCCTGGGACTCCAGGATCATGACTTGAGCCGAAGGCAGTCGCTTAACCAACTGAGCCACCCAGGCGCCCTCCCCTGGCCAGACTTATCAAAAAGAAAAATGACCCAAATCAACAAAATCATGAATGAAAGAGGAGAGATCACAACCAACACCAAAGAAATACAAACAATTATAAGAACATATTATATAAGCAACTCTATGCCAGCAAATTAGATAACCTGGAAGAAATGGATGCATTCCTAGAGATGTATCAACTACCAAAACTAAACCAGGAAGAAACAGAAAACCTGAACAGACCTATAACCACTAAGGAAATTGAAGCAGTCATCAAAAATCTCCCAACAAACAAAAGCCCAGGGCCAGATGGCTTCCCAGGGGAATTCTACCAAACATTTCAAGAAGAATTAATACCTATTCTTCTGAAACTGTTCCAAAAAATAGAAATGGAAGGAAAACTTCCAAACTCGTTTTATGAGGCCAGCATTACCTTGATCTCAAAACCAGACTAAGACCCCATCAAAAAGGAGAATTACAGACCAATATCCTTGATGAACATGGATGCAAAAATTCTCACCAAAATACTAGCCAATAGATCCAACAGTACATTAAAAGGATTACTCACCACGACCAAGTGGGATTTATCCCTGGGCTGCAAGGTTGGTTCAACATCCACAAATCAATCAATGTGATACAATACATTAATGAAAGAAAGAACAAGAATCATATGATCCTCTCAATAGATGCAGAAAAAGCATTTGACAAAGTACAGCATCCTTTCTTGAGCAAAACTCTTCAGAGTATAGGGATAGAGGGTACATATTTCAATATCATAAAAGCCATCTATGAAAAACCCACAGCGAATATCATTCTCAATGGGGAAAACCTGAGAGCTTTCCCCCTAAGGTCAGGAACGTGGCAGGATGTCCACTATCACCACTGCTATTCAACATAGTATTAGAAGTCCTAGCCACAGCAATCAGACAACAAAAAGAAATCAAAGGCATCCAAATCAGCAAAGAAGAAGTCAAACTCTCACTTTTTGCAGATGATATGATACTTTATGTGGAAAACCCAAAAGACTCCACCCCAAAACTGCTAGAACTCATACAGGAATTCAGTAAAGTGGTAGGATATAAAATCAATGCACAGAAATCAGTGGCATTCCTATACACCAACAACAAGACAGAAGAAAGAGAAATTAAGGAGTCGATCCCATTTACAATTGCACCCAAAACCATAAGGTACCTAGGAATAAATTTAACCAAAGAGGCAAAGGATCTATACTCAGAAAACTATAAAATACTCATGAAAGAAATTGAGGAAGACACAAAGAAATGGAAAAACATTCCATGCTCATGGACTGGAAGAACAAATATTGTGAAGATGTCAATGCTACCTAGAGCAATCTACACGTTCAATGCAATCCCCATCAAAATACCATCCACTTTTTTCACAGAAATGGAACAAATAATCCTAAAATTTGTATGGAACCAGAAAAGACCCCGAATAGCCAGAGGAATGTTGAAAAAGAAAAGCAAAGCTGGTGGCATCACAATTCCAGACTTCCAGCTCTAATACAAAGCTGTCATCATCAAGACAGTATGGTACCCGCACAAAAACAGACACATAGATCAATGGAACAGAATAGAGAGCCCAGAAATGGACCCTCAACTCTATGGTCAACTGATCTTCGACAAAGCAGGAAAGAATGTCCAATGGAAAAAAGACTCTTCAACAAATGGTGTTGGGAAAATTGGACAGCCACATGCAGAAGAATGAAACTGGACTATTTCCTTACACCATACACAAAAATAGACTCCAAATGGTTGAAAGACCTAAATGTGAGACAGAA